GCAGGGCAGTGCTCACCAGTGGCGAGAAGGGCAGGCGTACGACGGCGGCAACGGCGAGGCCGCTACCACTGTAGAGCGAGAGCTCCGCGGCAGCTGCAGGGGTGGCTGCTCCAGGGGCGGCAGTTGTAGGGGCGACTGCTCCAGAGGCGGCTGCTCCAGGGGCGGCTGCTGCAGTGGCGGCTGCTCCGGGGGCGGCTGCTGCAGTGGCGGCTGCTCCGGGGGCGGCTGCTGCAGTGGCGGCTGCTCCAGGGGCGGCTGCTGCAGTGGCGGCTGCTCCAGGGGCGGCTGCTGCAGTGGCGGCTGTTCCAGGGGCGGCTCGGCTGCTGGGCGACTCGGCGGCTCAGCTGCTGGGCGGCTCGGCGGCTCGGCTGCTCGCTAGGGGCGGCGACGGGGCCGGGTAGGGGCAGCGACGGGGCCGCTAGGGGCGGGGAGCGGCGACGGGGCCGCTAGGGGCGGCGACGGGGCCGCGTAGGGGCGGCTACGAGGCCGCGTAGGGGCGGCGACGGGGCCGCGTAGGGAGGGAAGCGGCGACGGGGCCGCTAGGGGCGGCTACGAGGCCGCGTAGGGGCGGCGACGGGGCCGTGTAGGGAGGGAGGCGGCGACGGGGCCGCTAGGGGCGGCGACGGGGCCGCGTAGGGGCGGCGACAGGGCCGCGTAGGGAGGGAGGAGGCGACGGGGCCGTTAGGGGCGGCGACGGGGCCGCGTAGGGGCGGCGACGGGGCCGCGTAGGGGCGGCGACGGGGCCGCGTAGGGAGGGGAGCGGCGACGGGGCCGCTAGGGGCGGCGACGGGGCCGCGTAAGGGCGGCGACGGGGCCGCGTAGGGGCGGCTACGGGGCCGCGTAGGGAGGGGAGCGGCGACGGGGCCGCTAGGGGCGGCGACGGGGCCGCTAGGGGCGGCAACGGGGCCGCGTAGGGGCGGCGACGGGGCCGCGTAGGGGCGGCGACGGGGCCGCGTAGGGAGGGGAGCGGCTACGGGGCCGCTAGGGGCGGCGACGGGGCCGCGTAGGGGCGGCGACGGGGCCGCTAGGGGCGGCGACGGGGCCGCGTAGGGGCGGCAACGGGGCCGCGTAGGGAGGGAGGCGGCAACGGGGCCGCTAAGGGCGGCGACAGGGCCGCTAGGGGCGGCTACGGGGCCGCGTAGGGGCGGCAATGGGGCCGCTAGGGGCCGCAAGGGGCCTGGAAGGGCGGCAACGGGGCCGCTAGGGGCGGCGACGGGGCCGCTAAGGGTGGCGCAAGAGGGGCCTCTAAGAGAGCTCGACAGAAGGGCGGCCCACAAGGCGCGCCTCGGGCAGGAGCGACTGTCGCTCCGGTCAGAAAAAAAAGGTTTCAGTGGTGGGCCCAAGGAAGCGTTCCCACTAGGGAACCTGCTCTATACCATGTGAAGAAATGAGGAATGGATTGACTAAGGGAAAGTTGGGTACAAAAGCAAACCCTAGAAAACTGTACCCCATATGTGCTACCCCACTATAGCCTACAGTAGCTATGTCATATAAATCTGACAGATCTGCTTCAGGACACAGTGTGCAGATGTGTCGAGTTCTTCGTAGTTCCTTTCCATCGAGAAGAAGAAGAGCATCTTTGCCAAGTACCCCCGCGCGTATTGTGTCGTAGGTAGTGTTTGCGCTCGGATGTCCTAACCGTTTGTGCCAAGTTTCTTCTGAAGCTGCATGTCCCGCAGATCGGTGATACAAGTCGGAGTTGGCGTAGAAGGCGGCGAAATTGGTCGGGCTCGTATGGGATGCATCGTTAATCATACCGCGACGAGAAGCCGATCTGTCAATTACAAGCGGTCCTGTTGAGTGCGATGAAGTCGAAGGTAATGATGGCTGCTGTATCTGTTCTGCTTCCCCAAGCTGTTCTGCTTCTTAGCTGATGCTCATTGATTCTGCTGTTGCTCGTGATGTTCCAGGTGTACCTGCTTCGGATGCTATTGGAGTGACGTTTTCTCGATGAAAACCAAGATGATCCGGTTCAGTGTTGAGCTCCTTCGGATGACAGTCTGTCCAAGAACCGAAGGCGAGGATTCGATTGCTTTCTGCAGAAGTCTCGTCTCTGTCCATATTAAGTACGAACACACCGTCCTGCTGTACTGCTTTTGCGACGTAAAATCCTCCCCTTTTTGAATATAACTTGAACTATCTGTTGTCGCTGTCGCACTCCAGGTGTACGCCGCGTCCCATCAGTTGACTAACACTCAGAAGATTGTAGCCTAGCCCAGGCACGATGAGGACGTTCGAAAGCTGTATAACCGTGTTTGTCTCAGGTGACTGAAGAAGGACTGTGCCTTGGCGTCGGGTACGTAGAGTCTGATTGTTGGCAACAGTTACAGTAACTTCGTGCGGAAGACGTGTCTCATGCTTGACGTAGAAACAGTTATTAATCCCTGTCGTACACATGTGTTGTGTGCAGCAATTGTCAAGAAACCAGACACCCTGACCGTATTCGGCGGTAGCTGCGACACTGGCGTACTGTAGATTGACTTGAAGATTCGTCGGAACTGCTTCTGGAACTTCATATGGAGCGAAAGTTGGAGGTGAGCCTGGGATGCATGAGTTTGTGCGGGTCATACAGGCAAACCAGTTTCTCCCCTTTGCTGGTACTGACGTGGTTTGTGTTTTACTCTGTGCGGCTGATGCAGTAGCGGCTGCAACCTGTGGAGGAGCAGCAGCTGGGCGGTGAGGAGTCGACTGTTGACGCTGAGGACAATGATCACGAGAATGACCGGAGGTTTTGCAGATGTGACAAAACGGAGGTACGTAAAACCGTCGCTGCTGCTGCTTCGGCTGCTGTTGTCGCTGCTTCTGCTGCTGCTGAAATTGCTTTTGTCGTTGTTGGCGGCTCCACTTGATTGTGTGCTATGAAAGCGAACTGATTTATCTTCTTGTTGCCTTTGCTGTCGTACAGATCCATATCTTGCTGTTCGGCAAGGAGTGTTGCGCAGAGGTGCATCTCCGAGACATTCCCTTGAGTACGGAGAAGAGAGCGTGTATTTCGCCACTGAGGTCCAAGTCCGGCGATGACAACTGTCACAAACATCGACTCACGGAAGCTTCCTCCACTTCGATTAAACTGGTCACGTAGCTCTCTGCACCGGTTGATGTACTGCACCGCATGCTCTCCTGCCTTCATCTGCACGTTGTTTAGCTGCGACATGAGTCTGCTCTGTGTTACACAGTCTGTTGCTTGATAAAGCCGCTTCAGATGTTGCCATGCTAACTCTGCTGAGTTGGCAAACTCCCTGTATGATCTGATGCCTTGCTGTTCAGTCAATGACAGGCTGCGTAGAAGAATGGTGAACGCCATCACCGATTGAAAGGCGAAGCTGCGCAGGTCATCTGGTGTCCCGTTGACTGGATACTGTATTTCCCCGGTGAAGTACTCCCATATCTTTGCTGCTTCCATCATGAGTTCAAATTCAAAACTCCAGGCGAAGAAGTCCTTTCCGTCGAAGGGCCTTGAAGTTTGAAACTTCAGAATGTTTAGCATCTGCGCTTGATAATTGGTTGCGTCGCCTACTCCAAGTCTGTTTCCATCTTGTTGCTGTTGCTGTTGTTGTTGTTGCGCAGGTGAAGTTCGCGGCACGAACGCCTGAGTGATCCGTGTCTGCTGTCGAGGCGGAGCACGATAAGAAACCGGTTGTTGTCGTATGTATGATGTCCCATCAATGCTCATTGATGCCGTTCCCATGTTCACTGATGATGATGATTGTGGTGCTTGTTGTGCTGCCATGAACGCTGACATGGCTTGAAAAACTTTGTTGTTGTATCACAGGATCGAGGCCTGCTGCACCATCGCCAGCAGTAGAACCATCTCCATCTGTTGCAACGTTAAACGCGAAGGACTGGGACGATCCTCCTACGCCTCCTGGTCCAGTTGCAGATGCAGCTGTTGAAGCAGGGTTGCCAAAGGTTACCCCTGAGAAACCAGAACCAGGTAGTGGTGGTGCAGTGGGCTGATGCGAACCACCACCTCCACTTTGAAAGTGGGGTTTTCCGTTGTTGCTATCCGTCATGACTGTAAGTTAGCCCTGATAATGAAAACCTTTGTTGACTGAGGATTCGTAAAAATAGGAGATCGTAAACTCTCCTGCTCTCATACCATGTTGAACTGAGATAGTTCTTAGGATCTTTTAGATTTTAGTCTCTGTAAGGTATTGGAGCGGAAAACTTGAATTCCTGTGCTGGTAAATTGTGAGAACAATAATTGAATAATAAATAAAAGATACAAGAGATTTATAGTCTACGAAAGTACCTATTCAGAGATGTACCTGTTCATGAAACGGGCTAGTTATCGAATCGACTCTACGAAGAGGTATAATCTTGTGTTATGCGAACAGTCACGAGACTGTTCGCACTACTATCTGTAACTCACGCGAAGAGACACCTGCTACAGTAACATGCATACATAGAAGTACTACGATACTACTGTAGTTGAAGTACTATCGAACTACTGAATTGTATAAGTCAATCTTATTTGTCCAACAGTAACGTACCACCTACGCCAATATGAGGGCCAAGCACTAAGTACCGTACTCATGTGTGCATAATGAGTGAACGTCAAAATACATTCAGCTTTTAGTGTGGTCTTGGTGAGTGTACGTAAGGGCGGGTTTCTGCAACTGCGGCATGAGTGTTTTCCCAAACGATCTTCTCGAATGTTGCATCCGTGTCCCAGAAACTTTTCCTTGCTCGACACGTGGCATTTGCTTTCTTGTGGCAACAGCAATCGTGGCTGCACTTTCTCTTCGGCTTCATCTCTATCGTGCGATCGGCCACGCTGGCTACTCTAGATGTCTCCCTTGGGTTTCAGAACCTATCCCTCTCCACCACTCCCCCCACCCCTGCCACCATGAATCACATCACACCCCTCCCCTTCCTGTCTGGTTGCCACCTCTCACGATTCTACTTCCATTGCCTGCCTCATTCATCGAACCAGTCGCCCCACACGCCAAACCCGCTCCGCGTCCTGCGTCGACTTCCTATCTCGGACAAGCACCAACATGGCTGCTCTGAGCTCTAGTCTCGCTCGTGCTGACGTGGCACTGACAGAGGCTGCCCTCGCAGCCACCTGCTCGCACCGTTCCGCCTTCTCCTCCTTCTCGGGTCTGCGCGCCGCTCCACAGGGCACTGCTACGCCTCAACTGGCGCAGAGGGCCTGTGCAGCACGCCGAGCCGTCGTGAGGGCCGCCACCACAGTAGCGCCCACGGTATGATGGCGTCTGCTGCACGTCTGCTGCATGCGCTGCTTTGTGATTGAAAAACCCACATCGCCCTCACTGACTTATCCACCGCACTCAATATGGCTGCGCACACCGCCAAACACTTGCCCGCCAAACACGCACTCAATATGGTTGCGCGAAAACTGCGTACAGTACTTCCATGAGTTATCGAATCCGCGCTTTTGCTTATAACGACGCTTGCATCTGTTACCCTCACCCCTGCGCGCCCGCGTGCGTGGCATGCAGTACACGAATCTGAGGCCGCTGGGCGACCGCGTGCTGGTGCGCATTCAGGAGGTGGAGGAGCGCACGTCGGGCGGCATCCTGCTGCCCACGTCGTCGCAGACCAAGCCGCAGGGCGGCTCCGTGGTCGCCGTGGGCTCGGGCAGGACTCTGGGCGACAAGAAGGTCGCCGTCGACGTGCCCGTGAGTGCCGTGGGGTTGAGGGTTCTGCCCTCCTCGGGGAGTCTCGGGGAGTGCGTGCGTGCTCTTGCGGTGTGTCGGGGAGGGATGGTTGTGGGACAGTGTGGGGCAATGGGGGTTGAGTCGGCGGCGTGTGGTGTCGAGGCACGTGTGTGTTGGACGAGTATTCGTGCTCTTCACCTAACGATATTCGCACGTTCGCACGTTCGTTCCCCACGTCCCTCATCCCCTTGTTTTTTATTCCGCACCTCGCGTCGCTAGACTAATTGTCCGCATAAATAGCATCGCATACCCCACCAGGAACTTGTCATTTGTTGATCGCGAGCCCTCATCGTACTGCCCGCTCTGTGCGCTGCGTGGTTGCGGCGAGTGCAGGAGGGCGGCAGCATCGTGTACAGCAAGTACGCGGGCGTGGAGATCGACTTCAACGGCGCGCCGCACCTGCTGCTGAAGGAGGACGACATAGTGGGCGTGCTCGCCACCGACGACATCGCCGACCTCAAGCCGCTCAACGACCGCGTGCTCATCAAGGTACGACCGCGTGCTCATCAAGGTACGACCGCCCGGCAGCGTAGTTACGGCGCGCATGGGCGTCGATCGTGAACCACCAGCACGCCGTGGAGTACTTGCGTCGCAACGGCGCTGCGTGCTCCATGTGGGACCACACTTACAATCACGCGCTCACGCTAGTGCTGTCTCCGCAGCGAAACGTTGTTAGCAAGCACATAACATACCAGCTATGTGATTGCCAGTAGTTTTTCGCAGTGATTCATGCGCACGTGCTTGTCACGCGATGTGTTCCTCTCCGCTCCGTCAAGCTCCTGGTCGCCTCTCGTGACCAGCCTCTGAGCGCTTTTTGAATCTGTCGGTGGGTGTGCGTTGGGCGGGTTGGCGTGGTGGTGTGGCATCAGGTGGTGGAGTCGGAGTCCAAGACGGCGGGCGGTGTGCTGCTCACGGAGAGCGCCAAGGAGAAGCCAGTCGTTGGCACGGTCAGTCTCTTGCACCAGCCCCCCTCTTATTCACTGGCCCTCCGATCCCATCACTGTCACACTCTGTGCCGGTATCCTCCTGCACTGATCTGCGTGCGCTTCTTAGGCGACCTTTGCCTCTCAAGTTGTCTCATGCATCTCTGTATTCCGGCGTCCCTCCCCTTCTGCATGTCACTGTATTCAGGTGATCGATGTTGGCCCAGGTGCCCTGGGCGAGGATGGTTCAAGGAAGCCTGTGGACATCACAGATGGCGCTACTGTGCTCTATGCCAAGTTTGCAGGCAATGAATTCAAGGGCAAGGATGGCTCACCATATGTTGTGCTCAGGTCTTCCGATGTGATGGCTGTCCTTTCTTAGAGAATCTCCTATCGGGCTGTTTAGTAAAAAAACCCTGAATATGTGTGTAACGAGTTAAGTACTAGCAGTGAGTAAAATAACAAAATGTTGAAATGTGGTGAAGCCCAAAGATGTTGATTTCGTAGGTGGATAAATTGTCCACGAAGATTTGGACAATTTTATACAGAAACACTGGCCAGATAAGGGCATGTTCCTACCCCGCATGTTTCATCAGGCCATCCTCTAGTCAGACTCAGATTTGTCAAACTAAATGTTGGAAATACGATAGATAACAAAAGTTTTAGGCTGTTAGATTTTGCTGTAATACAATTGTTGTAGTGCCAGAATTATTGGAGTCTAGAATTATTGGAGGGTAAAATTATCGGCGGGAAGAATTATTGTCTTAAGAAGCATGCACAACGGAATGGGCGAACTAGAAACATGATGGGGTACAAATATGCAAACCTAAAAGGTGTACCCCCTAGAAGGCACCTCACTACAACCTATACTAGATATTATATATTTGACACACCCCCATAGGCTAAGTGAGGGGCATCAAAGCAAGCAGGGTGAACAAACGGTCACAAGACCAGTCAATGCAAGAAGCAAAGCAAGCTCAGGGGGGATCTCAAGGACACCACACAAATTCTGAGCACAAGCAAGCGGCCACAAGGCCAGTTCAAGAGTTCACTAGGATATATATGTCATATGTTATAGTCTTAGTGATGTGTGTCATATGGGGTACAACAGTTAGGGTTAGGTTTATGTACCCCAACCAACCTTAGTCAACACCATCATTCCGTTCTTGACATGGTATCACCTAGGTTAGGATCCTGTGGGATCCCTTTCCTCCCGTACCGTCGCCTAGCGCCTGTCACGCCAGTTCGTCTCGTACCCTAGCGCCCGTTGCGCCCGTATCGTCCCCTAGCGCCTGTTACGCCGGTCCGTCTCGTTCCCTAGCTCCCGTTGCGCCTAGCCTACCACGCCCGTAGCGGCCGTAGCGGCCGTAGCGCCCGCAGCGCCCGAAGCGCCCGTAGCGCCCGTAGCGCCCGTCCCGTCGCGTCGCGTCCCGTCCCGTCCCGTCGTCCCGTCCCGTCGTCCCGTCCCGTCCCGTCGCGTCGCGCTCGCCCCGTCCCGTCGTCCCAGCTCGTCGCGCCCGTCCCGTCTGTCCCGTCGCGACGTGCCTGCCCGTCCCGCAGCGCCACGCCGCGCCCGTCCCGTTCTGCCTGCCGCACGGCGCCGAGCCGCGCGCGTCCCGTTCTGCCTGCCGCGCGGCGCCGAGCCGCGCGCGTCCCGTCCTGCCTGCCGCGCACGCCACGTCGCGCCCTACCCTACCGTCCTGCAGTGCCTTGAGCCTCACCCACTGCCTGTCACGCCCTACTTAGGCCCTTTAGGCGTTTTAGGGTTTCGGCAGCAGCAGTTCCCACCTCTTCGCTTCCGCTATGGCGACCCCTAGGGTCCTGCGCTTTGACGCCGAGGGTAGGCCACTCGAGTTCTCGGTCTGGCTCCTGCGTGTGCGCCGCCTCCTAGAGAGTCAGGTTCAGGCAGATGAGTCTCTGTGGGCGCACGCTTCCGGTGACCTTCCTGCGCCCCCCGCCCCTGCACCCTTAGGCACTGACGCTAGCACTGCAGACAGAGACCGTTATGCACGCCAGCGTGCTGACTTGACAGCGTGGAAGTCACGTGACGCTGCGGCCTGCATCGCCCTTAGCAGCCTCCTCCCTGAGTCTGAGGAGGCCCAATTCACTCAGGTTCCCACTGCTAGTCCACCAGCTGCATGTGCTGGAGTGGCGGCTTGGTACCTGACTCAGCGGCAGCAGCAGCAGCAGCCACTCGTCTCGCAGCAGCCACAGCAGCAGCAGCGGCAGCAGCAGACTCCGGGGCAGGGGCCAGGACCGCGTCAGCCGTCGCGTGGTGCCGTCCACCCTCCCTGCACCTATCTCGTTCAGACCGGTGCTCGCCGAGGCCTCCCCTGTGGCTGCACCCACCCACCGGGTCAGTGCTTTGCTCAACTCACTGACACACTTCATGCGGCCTACGGCGTTGGCGGCCCTGCCCCTGACTAGCTTCCCCTTGTTCAGACGTACGGCCCCGCTCTGTGGGGCATGTCGGCTTCTCAGTTGCTTGATCTCTTTGGAACTCCTCATGCTATGTATCCTGTTGTTGATTCTAGTGCTTCTGACTCTGTTTACTCGAGTGTTGTTAGCTTAGGTGCTAGTGTTGCTGAGGTGCCTGTTGCTAGCGTAGGTACTTGTGCACACACTAGTCCAGGAGCTGCTTCGGAGGACACTTCGCTGTCTTTCACTCTGGACTCCGGAGCTTCGCACTGTTTCTTCCGCGACCACACGACGCTTACTCCGCTTCCTGTGCCGGTCTCTGTGGCACTGGCTGATCCCACTTCGGGACCAGTCACTGCTCGCTACACTACTACGCTTCCGTGCCCGGCAGTTCCCTCGGGTTTCCTGACGGGCTTCCACGTCCCCTCGTTCTCCAGGAACTTGGTGGGTGTGAGGCTGCTCGTGAGTAGTCACGTGGGTGTGTGGATTGAGCCTTCTGGCGAGACTGCAGTGTGTGTTGACGGGGACTCATACGCGCCTCTGGCCACCTTTACCGCTGAGCCGGGCTCTGGTCTCTACACACTTCACACTGGCCCCCGAGGGCAGCAGCAGCAGCAGCAGCAGCTGCCTCCGACCCCTGTCACTGCCCCCTGTTAGGTCCCCGCGTCTCACCATGTTGCCGCCTCCCACCAGGTAGCTGTGTCTGGTCTGGTTCCAGCGTCTCGTCTGGTTGCTGCGTCTTGCTCGTGTCGGTCGCTTGCCCACCCCACCGTTCTGTGGCACCACCGCCTTGGGCACCCGTCCATTCCTCGCCTGCGCACTATGTCTAGTCAGCGTCTCGTCTTAGGCCTCCCGCGAGTCTTGCCGTCGCTACCGCTTTCGCCTGCACCACTCTGCGCCCCTTGCGTCGAGGGTCGGCTGCGCGCCACCCCTCACTCCTCCTCCCTTCGTCCGGCCACCAAGCCCTTCGAGACTCTCCACTTGGACGTCTGGGGCCCCGCCCCTCGCTCTGGCCCTAAGCGAGAGAGTTTCTTTTTGGTGGTCGTTGACGACTACTCTCGCTACACCACAGTGTTCCCCCTGGCGAAGAAGTCTGAGGTGACTTCTACGCTGATCCGGTGGTTACTTACCACTGCGGACACTCGTGGTCGTCGTGTCAGCTGTCTTCACTCCGACCGCGGGGGTGAGTTTCGCTCCGGCATTCTCGCTGGATTCTGGCATCCGTCAGTCCTGGACGCTTCCAGAGACCCCACAGCAGAATGGGGTTGCTGAGCGCCGCATAGGCTTGGTCATGGAGATTGCACGCACCTCCATGATCCACGCCCGTGCGCCCCATTTTCTGTGGCCCTACGTGGTTCGGTACGCCGCTCACCAGCTGAACCTCTGGCCACGTGTCTCTCGGCCAGAGGCTTCACCGACCAGTCTTTGGACCGGGTCCCCTGGTGCTGCGTCGCGTTTTCGTGTCTGGGGCTGCTTGGCGCTTGTTCGCGACACCTCCGCGGATAAGCTCTCCCCTCGCGCCCTTCCCTGCGTCTTCCTTGGTTTCCCCGAGGACTCCTCTGGCTTCACCTTTTACCACCCTCCCCTTCACCGGTTCTTTGACTCCCGCGACGTTCGTTTTGTCGAGTCTGTCCCCTACTACACCCGGTACCCCTGTCGAGGTCTTTCGGTTCCTCCTCCCCCTCTCTTCCTGACTCCCGCCCCCCCTCCTGCCCCTCCGGTACAGCCCCGCCCCCCTGGTCCAGCCCCGTCAAGTGTGTCACACGCTACCCCCCCCTCCCCTCGGTCGCCCCTCAGGTACCGTCCCCTTCCCCACAGTCCTCCTCACAGCCTACTGCAGACCATGCGGGAGCAGGTGCTAGTGTCGAGGACCTTGGGGGTGCTACCTCTGGAGGTGTTGGAGTTGGCGCTGAGACTGTGCCTGCACGAGGCCCTGGTGCTGGGGGTGCTGGAGCTGGAGCTGAGCCCGTGTCTGCAGGAGGTTCTCGTCTTCGGGGAGATGGTGTTGGTCGAGCTGTCCCTGGGGGTGCTACGACTGGGGGTACGGGTGCACCCACTGCGGGACCTGGAGAGTCTGGGACTGGCCGTGTTGCTGCTGGTGGTGCTGGCTCTGGGGGTGGTGCGACTGGTGCTTTGGAGAGCGGTCCTGGGGCTACCACCGCCCCGGACACTACTCCTCCCCCCCACCCCTACCCGACCCGGCACCAGACCCGTGTTCGCCGTGCCCGTGAGGAGCAGCTGGAGTTGGAGCGAGAGGAGCGAGAGTTGGAGCAGCAGCAGTTGGAGCTACAGCGGCTGGAGGAGCAGCAGCAGGAGCAGCGGTTGCAGCCGGAGCAGGAGCGGCAGCCGCAGCGACAGCCGCAGCAGCAGGAGCAGCAGCAGCAGCCGCAGCTGGAGGAGCAGCCGCAGCAGGAGCAGCAGGAGCAGCAGCAGCAGCAGCAGGAGCAGCAGCAGCAGCCGCCGCAGCAGGAGCAGCAGCAGCAGCCGCCGCAGCAGCAGCAGCAGCCGCCGCCGCAGCCTCCTGTCTCTGGCCTTCGGGTCCTCGGTCTCCCCTCTCCCTCTCCTCCCTCCTCCCCCTCTCCTCCTGTCTACGGTCCCACGTTTCCTCCTCCTGAATACACCCCAGCTGTTTTCCCCCGTTCTCAGCCTCCGTTGTCCCCTCCTCTTTCTCACACTTGAGCTTCTCGTCGCTCTCCTCGTGCTCGTCCGTCGTCCCCTGTGCCCTTCACTGACCTTCGTACTGCCCTGTTTCGTTCTAGTCCGCCTCGTTCGTCTCCGTCTGTGCTTCCTTCTCCTCCTAAGCCGGCCTTCACTGCTTCCCTCTCTACTCCTGTCACCGACTACTACCGCACGTACCGACCTGTTCTCTCTCGTGTTCTCGCCTCTCTTGTTACGGACCCTCATGCCTCTCTGTCCCCTGTCTCCGCCCTTACTGTCGCCCTTACTCTTGTACCCGCCCCCCCT